AGTTCATAGAGCTTGCAGAGGCATGTGATTTAGGAAGTGAATGCCACTCCTCCTTCCAAGATATCAAATATAGGCAGTTTGATATTAACTGCTGCTTCCACAGGTGTTGATGTTGTTGTTCACAGTGACCCTATGAACAACAGATCTGAGCAATGTCCTATCCTGTGCCATCTACACAAACTTTGACACACTCAAGCCCACTACAGATAACATCATGTCAATCCACCTGGTGAAGGGTCTTCCTCTCTTCTGCCGCTGCTCCACCTCTCCAAGCATGATAAAGCTTCATCACTTTTTGCCTCCAAGGATTACTCTGGCAGCACGTTCTCCAAGACATATATGTTGTTTTGGCAGTCCATGGATATTCAACACTCTTCTCCAGCACCACAGCTCAAAGGCATCTATTCTTCTTCTGTCATGCTTAGTCACTGTCCAGCAAGTGACTGAAAGACCATGACCTGAAACAGGCGCACCTTAGTCCTCAAACTGACATCATTGTTCCCCAATAATTTGCAATATAATACATCTCCCAACCTCCTGCCTACTGGTAACTGCTGCTTCCATGAGCATTGACTGTAACACAGGATATTTTATATGAATGACACCCAGATCAGAGATGGGCAGTACCTGCAACCTTTCTATTATGGCTGTTTGCATCTACCCCCAGTGTGAAGAACTTCCCAAAGCAACTCAACTCTCAAGTGATCAACTGTGCTTCTAATTCCTGTACCACCAACTTGTCACATTTTCTATACCAGAAAAAAAAAAGGCAGAGGGGAATTTATAACACTGGAATAAAGTTCTGATAGCTTAGTGGTAAGGAATTACACTGTCAATCCAAAGGCAAGCGGTTTTAATCTTTCAACTTTTCTGCAGGATGCAGGCAATATCCTGACTTGCAATTCACCGCCTCCAAAAATTGGATGGAGGGTCAATTCCAACTCGAAGGTACATAACTAAAACAAACAAACAAAACCCACCCCAGAATATGGACAGTGTCTTAAACACAACCACTACTTAAAGGTTGCTTGCATACAGTGACTCTCAACAAAACAATCACAAACTAATTGAGCTGGAACTAACTCAAAGCTGGGTTTTTGGAGGATTTAAATCACATGTAAGAAGCAGTTAAGGATTTTAACCAACAGGCAAAAGCTCTCTACTGACTACACCACCCGAGTTCCCTTGTTGCTGTTGTGTGCCGTCTAGTAGGAACTGACCCACAGCTGACACTCTAGCAGGTTTTCAGAGGCATTAAATCTCAGGAGATTGCTCGCCCTTCTCCCTTAGAGAGCTGGTGGATTCAAACTGCATCTTTGGGACTGCAGTGCAATCCAGAGCACCTTGAACTCGCTTGTTGGCTATGTGCCATCGAGTCAACCACAACTCATAGCAACCCTATGAACATAAGCTCTGAATCCTGCCCTATTCTGAGCCAACCTCACCATCTCTGACACACCTAACCCCAGTGCCACAGTCACTGTGTCAATCCATCTCATCCAGGGTCTTTCTCTTCTATGCTAACACCCTCTACTCTTCCAAGCATATTATCCTTCTCCAAAGACTGGTCCTTCATTGCAACATGGAGCTTCAAAATCCTTGTCTCCATGGGGCATCTTAGTTTTGCCCTCTCCAGAATAGATCTATTTTGCCTCTTGGCAGTTCATGTTCTGTTCAATACTGTTCTCCAACACCCTAACTCAGAGGCATAAATTCTTCTGTCATTCTTATCCATTTCCCAGCTCTCAGATATACAGAAATAACAGAGAATACCATGGTTTGAATCAAGTGCACCTTAGTATGGCATCTTTAGCCCTCCAGATCTTTGACAAATTTTCCCAATACAATCCTTTTGATTTTCTGACTGCTGGTGCCAAGAGTGTTGATTGTGGATCCCATCAAGATGAAATAATTAATAACCTCAATCTTTATCATGATACCATCTATGGGTGCAGTGGTGAGAATATTTGTTTTCTTGATGTTGGGATGCAATCCACATTGAAGGCTGCAGTCCTTGACATTCTGCAACACACTTCAAGTCCTCCTCAGTTTCAATGAGCAAGGTTGTGTCATCTCCATAATGCACGTTGTTGATGAATGTTCCAATCTTGACGCCACATCATTTTCATAAAGTCCAGCTTCCTGAATGATCTGTTTCACATTTGGACTGAAAAGGCATGGAGAAAGGATGCATCCCTGACACACTTGTTTCTTGATTTTGAAACGTGCAGTGTTCCCATGCTCTATTTGGACAACTGTTCCCTAAAGATATCCCAAAACAGACTAGTTGTAGATATACTGAGCTCTTCTGGCCTATTGGTAAGAAGCCATGCTGCCAACCCAAAGGCATAAGTTTGAATTCACCAGCTGCTCCCAGGATGAAAGGTGGACAGTCTTTTCCCATGCAATTTACAGCCTCCAGAAATCTGCTGGAGAGTCAGCTATGAATCAGCTTTGATTCTATAGCACATTAACAACAGAGAAACCATAAAAAGCTTTGTAGAAGTTTTGACTTTACTGTTGTTAAGTGCCCTTGAGTGGATGCAAACTCACAGATACCTTGCATTCAACAGATCAAAGGCTTGCCTGCTCCGGTACCATATTCACAAACTCCCGTACATCCACTGTTGGAGTCAACATCCTTCTCTCTTGTACTGACCCTCCACTTTGCTAAGTGTGACGTCTTTATCCAAATATTGGCCTCTCCTGACAGTAAGCCCAAATGATGTTTCTTTGATAGATGTCACTCAAAAAACCTCACTAACATTGAGTGGAACTGACTCACAGCTGGCCCTCCAGTGGGTTTTCAGAGAGTGTAAATTATATCAGAGGAAACTGCCCATCCTTCCATTGAGGAGCAGCTGGTGGATTCAAACTGCTCACCTTCAGATTAGCGCAGCACTACTCTTTTCCCTCTAGACCACCAGAGGACCCCTGGTAGACATCAAAAAGAGTCAAATGCTCAAAATGATATTACAGAAAGAGTCCTTCAACCACACCCTCGAGCAGGCCAGATCTGGATGAAAGACTCCCAGAAGGAAGCCATCTAAGAAACTATTCAAATGGAGAGAAGCTCAGGAGAGGCTCCCTTGTAATGTGCAGCATTCTCTTCATTCAATCATCTTTTATCTGTTTGGGGTTACAGATACTGGTTTTCACTCACCAAGTAAAGCTTAAAACTGGGCCATTAAGCCAAGAAAAACATATTTTTGCCTGAAATATCTAGGTATCTAAGGCAACAGTTTTGACTTGAATAATTATATACATACATAAAATGCATAACACAAATTAAGCATTGCTTTCCCCCTCCTCCCTCACTTCTTTGACAATCTCTCTGCCATCTCCCTCTTTTTGAGGGGTTTCTTCTCTTCTACTCTCTTCTTCCCTAAAATTATCCACCTCGCTCATTTCTTTCCATATGCTTATACATTAACGATCTGCACACTGTCGTCTCCTGAGACTTCCTCTCACCCCTAAAAGAAGTATTATTCAGATTATTTTACCATTTTTGCCTATATATTGGCTTAACCAACCTCCTCAACACTTAGATTTAATTCTCCAGTTCCCTTTGCTGATGCAGCTCAAACCATCATTAGTATTAGGATTCTATAATTACCACTAAATATCTATTCAAGGCCAGTCATTTATGTTCATTTTCATATGCTCCTCTGAAAGAATCAAGAGCACTTTGTATTTACATATACAAATTAATTTTATTGTGCTGTTGGAGTGCCAAATAAGGAACTCTTCTCCATAAATCTCAGTTAGAACCTAACAACTAAACAAAAAAAGAGCTTCCTAAGAATTTCCTTTCAAAGCATGTATCTTGAATTTCATTCCAAGATGGCATATCAGTAATAGACTGTGATACCAGACAATTTTTAGTTATTTCTTAAAGTTATATAAAAAGCCTTTACTTCCCTATGGAAGAAAGCTGTACTGAAGTCATTCACTGTAATAACACTGTTCCTAACAGGCACAAACAAGCCGATCAGGAAAAAAATTACAGGATGCAACCATCAATTTAAAAAACTGAATGGAGGCACAGTCTTAAGACAACATCAAGCAGAGGTAAAATACAAAAAAAAAAAGTAAATTCTATTATTTGGTATTTATACCACAAAAGATTGTTGCACTTGGAAGACCAACTTTACTGTTTATTCCTCTCAGAAAATATGCAAAACAAAAACACAAGCACTAAAATCCAGAAATAAGGAATCACCATTGATAAGTAAATATGGTCTTGGCAAACATTAAAATATTATCCTTTCACCGCAATAATGTTAAAAGAAAAACACAAACTACCTGAATTATGTTTCTAGACTGCACAGTTTGGATTTTCTTCTCTCCCAAGATAACGGGCTCTTCCCTCCCCATACTTCAAACCCCTCTGAAACCTACAGTGTGCATCTTTGGTATCAAATAGTAGTCAGGTGTTTCACTGACTCTACACGCCGGAAGGAAAAAAAAAGGGGCACACACATCCATTACTGGGAGTCAAATCTCCTTTATAACAGCTCCATTAAGGCACACAGTACGCCCAGGCACAGAAGGTGTGGGCAGTGCTTACTGCAAACCACGTTTCACCATAACAAGACTTCTTCTTTTCAAACACTACCAAAAATAGGCAAATAATTCAAATTGCTCTTAGCTCAAGGTTAGTTGAGCAAGAACAACAAAAGTTTGGAGAAATCTAATTAAGCCAGATGTGATTTGCTCAAAAGTAAATTGCTATGACAGATTTGTCTACTCTGCATCCTTATCCTGCCAAGTAATTTCAACCTGAAGAAGGGGCGCCTTGTGAGCGGGCCACACTTTCTCAGCTTGTGCCTGAGAAATGCGGACAGGGCGGACCAACTCATCCCTTAGCTGGACACGCCTTCGGCCTCGCGGGACCATAAATCTAGTCTGGCTCGGCTGCCCAAAGGCAGACAGGACGGAGACGGGACGGACAGACTGGACAGGACGGACTGTACGCTCAAAGAAGCAGTGCGTCCTACCCGGAGGGCTCCCTCCCAGGGCCGGCGGAGTACCTGCTCCGGTCATCCAGGCTGCGGTTGTCGGCGGCGGCGGCGCGCCAGTCCGGCAGGGTGCTTGCGCACAGCACCACCATGGACACGATCACGAACACCACCGACACGCTGGCCAGGATCTGCGCCGCCAGCGACGACGTGGGCTCCTCGAAGGTCCGCCGCATGCGCTCCAGCCAGCGGCGGGAGGAGGCCGCCTCGGAGCCACCGGGTCGCACCTCGTCTCGGCCCAGCGCGCCCTGCTCCTCCGCCGAGTAGAAGGTGTAGGTGTCAGACATGCGGTCGTCGAGGCGGCGCTGGCAGCAGTACTCAAGGTGCGTACCCTCCAGGCCCCAGTAGATCATCTCGTTGTAGAAGGAGAGCTCACACATCCGCGGCGCGAAGCGCAGCTTGCCGTGGCCGCGCACGTAGAGCAGGATGAAGCCGAAGGCCTCTGAGTGCCGGTCGAAGAAGTACTCGTTGCGCTCACGGTCGTAGTCGTCGCACACCTCGAGCACGTCGCGCTCCGAGCGGCAGCCGTGCAGCCGGCTCACGCGGCGCAGCGGGAAGTCCTTCAGCAGCTCCCGGGACAGCGAGTACCGGGCACCGCCCACGTTCAGCACCACCGAGGCCGCCCTACTGCGCCCGAAGGTCATGGCTGGCCGCCCCGGGGACCCTCGGCTCGGGGGCACAGCCGCCGCCCCCCGGCCGCCGCCCCGGGCCGTCCTGCTGCTTGCGGGAGGGAAGGCGCGCCGTCGGGGCCGGCAGCCTGTAGGCTCCCTCTCCCTCGGGGTTTTGCTCTTCCAGGCGCTGGCCGAGGAGCCCCTCCGGGTTCCAGCTTCCGTGCCAGCCCCACCTCGCTGCTAGCGACGCGCCCTCGCGCAGTGGTACTCGGGTGCTGAGTAGTCCCCTCCGGAGCCAACACTGCGCCCGCCTGGCCAGAAAGGAGGCTGTGTCAGCACCACCGCCCCGCGCGCCTGGGGATGCCGTCGCCCAGGCTGGGGTGCCTCCCCAAGGCGGCAGCGGCGTCCCCCCAAGAGGGGCGCAGGTGCAGGTGTGGAGGTGCTTCGTAATCGGCGCTTCCGCAGGCACCGTGCAGCCGTCCAGAGCCGAGAGGCAAAGTGAGCGGGCTCGGAGGCGGCAGGAGCCGGCTCGCTCCGCGGGGGCGGGGCCTCCCCGCGGTCCTCCCTCCCCGGCGCCGCTTGGCACCTCCGCGCGCTCTCCTCTCCGCGCGCGCTCCTCTCGAGCTGCCTCCGGCCGGGATTCCCCCTGGCCCGCCCTGGCCGCGGGTTCCCCGCCCCGTGACGCCGTTCGCGCGCTCCGCTCCGACCCGAAGCGGCCCAGAGGGATCTGCGGGGCGGAGGTAAGAGACATGGGGAGCCCCGAGCGAAGAGCAGAAGTAGAGCACCTGGGAGCATTTCCATGACATGAAGAGCTCACTGGAACCCCTTTCACAAGGAAGACTGAGGATGGTGAGGGGCACTGGAAGGCTAGGTGAGGGTGAGGGGCGGAGATAGACAGCTTTGGGAAAGCTTTTTTCAGAAACTCTCCAAAACCCAACCTGGTTTCTAAGACCACCCCAAAGATTTCTCCGAGCAGCTAAACCAGCCTCTGCTTTCCTACTGACTTCGCGATCTCTTCCTACTGGGAGACCCTCGCCCCTGCATCCAGCCTCCGTGACTGCCACCCACCCGCTCCCCTGAGCGGGAACAGTCTCTATCCCGGATTTCTGTGGCACGCATTCCGGGAGGGCTCCTAAGGCTAGTGTGCCTGGACCCCTCCTGAGTGGGGTAAAAGAATTGCCTTGCCACTGGCAAGAGCCGAATATCTTGATCTACTGCACCTTCTCACTATGCCTCCATTTTCCCTCTGCACTCTCCAGCCGGCTACAGCACCACCAAGAACCCCTTAAACTCGACAGAGTGAACTGCCCGCGCGCAGATCCATATCCAGGCAGTGGGTTCCAATTTGACAGTGCTTATTTTAGATACCCGCAATTCACACGACATCCGACATGGCAGCAGAGCCCCACAGTGCCTGCCAGAGGCGAAACAGGTAAGTTGTAAGGCCACTTAACGTTAGAAGCGAAAGAGATTCTAGAAGAAAAACTAAGGGTGGAGTTTGGTGGGATGTGGTCATCTGAGCATTCGCCTGGTGATTTGACTCTTCACTTTCCATAATTTTGTAGGATTTCCCTATGCCCACTAGAGGTCACTGTAAGGAGTTCTAGTGAAAAGATCCTAACGAAAAGGCAAACACCTAAAAATTGGCTTGCTCTCATAAAAAGAAAAAAAAAATCAAGAGTGTTTTCTTAAAGATAGGTAGTCTCTATAAATTTGTCTTTCTCCCTATACTTGGATAGTTTTTTTCTTAAAAGCACTTAATGTGATTAAAAATTCAAACAGAATTGTTTTATTTGCTAAATAGCTACTAAGCAAGGAAAACTTCTTGGAGGAAGTGAGAAGCAAGGCAGAATTGAGAAGGTGACGACCAGGAGTTGGCAGACAAAAAAGCGCAAACCATTCCAAGTGGCATAATGTCAAAAATACGGAGATTTGAAATCTGTTAAGGAAAGCCATTGCGTTTGCCTGGTTGGGGGTACTATTGGGTTGTCAACTGCAGAATTTAGGTTTGATTATACATTTTTATTTGGATCTCAGAAGCTCTTAGTAAAAGGAGTGACTGATGAAAGCTTTATTTCCAAAAGATTCCTTTGCCTTGTAAGTTCTGAAGAGGCAGTTTTAGCAAGCCCTAGTGTTCTCTGTAGCTAAAGAAGGGCCAATTCTGAGAACATCTGAGATAAGGACTCAGCTGGTCCTGGCAATAGACTTACAGGACATGAGGGTGAAGAGTCCATTCCTCAGTGAATTGTTACAAATAACTTTTTAGAAGCCTCACAAGTAACAGAACACAGCAACAATTGTGTGGATAATTTGCTCTTACATTTATTTCCTGTACTCTAAAATCCCTTGGAAGACTGTTGATTGAATCAGCTAAAGAAATCTCTCATTTTAAATTAAATTTGAACTTAGATAACATATTAATTTGATGACAGTACAATTCATGTCTCTTAGGTATATTTTCATAAAATTTCTTAGAGAGAGAGGTTATTATTTCATTTGGTTCAAGAGTAATATTTTAATATCTTTACTCCACTGCTGCAGCAGTAATATCCAAATTATTTTCTTAAACAAAGACAACAGTAAAAGGCAGAGATGGTTCACTTGTCTCAATATAATTTGGTTTAAAAAACACTTTTTTCCCCTCTCTCAAGTGATACTGTACTCAAAGAAAAGTCTAAAAGTCATTGCCATGGAGTTAGAACAGACCCATAACTGACCTTCTTCCACTGCCATTTGTTGTTGTTAGGTGCAATCAAGTTGAGTATAATTCATAGCAACCCTGTGAACCACCAATCTGAACACTATTCTATCCTGTGTCCTCCTCACATTCTCCAACACCCTCAAGCCCATTGATGTAGCCACTATGTCAGTCTACCTAGTTGAAGGTCTTCCTCTCCTTTGCAGCCCCTCCACCTTCCCAAACATGATGTCCCTCTCCAAGGAATAACCTCTCCTAGTAACATGTCCAAAGTATATGACACAAAACTTCATCATCTTTGCTTCCAAGGAGCACACCTTTCTTAAGCCGTTCGGAGGATCCTCACACACAATTCAACTTGGTGAATTCAAATTCACCATGCATCAATTCTTCTTCTTTCATCTTTATTCATTGTCCAGCTCTCAGATGCATAGGAAGTGACTGAAAAGGCCATGGCCTGAATCAGGCATACCTTAGTCTTCAAACTGACATCAGTGTTCCTCAATAGTTTGGAGAAGGCCCTGACTGCAGCCTTTCCCATTGCAATATATGTCCTGATCTCCTGACTGCTGGTACCACTGTACTGATTGTATAACCAAGTAAGATGAAGTAATTGACAATCTCAATCCTTTCTCCAACCATCATGATGTTACACATCAGTGCAGTGGCAGGATTTTTGTTTTCTTGATGTTGAAAGAGCCATCTAACTAGTTTGGCTAGGCTTAACAGAGGTACAGAGGCTGTAAATCACCTATCTTTCTCCCATGGTTTCTGATGAATACAGAATCTGCATTTGGATTGGCAGTGCAACTCCTTGCCCACTCATCCTTTATTATATTCAGAAAGCATTCTTAAGAACAGTTCTAGTCTTTGTACTTTAAGAAAATTACTTGAGATATAACATCTGGGTTCTTTTCAGGGTGGTCCATTGGCCTGTTAGTAAGAAACTGCACCACAATCCCAGGGCTGTGTGGTTCAAATCCACCAGCCATGCCATGAGAGAATAGTCTCCTCTGTGCGATTCACTGCCTCTGAAAATCTGCTGGAGGGTTAGCAATGGGTCAGTCCTGAATCAATGGCACACAACAGCATGGTTCTTTTCTGGATTCTGGATAACATTTAGGCTCTTAGACTATAACTCTTTCTAATGTATTAAAAATTTTAAATATCAGCCAAAATGTTAAAGTTTTGAAAGGGACTAGAGATTTTTCTAGTCTTACAACTTTATTTTAAGGGCAGGAAGCAAAAGTTCAGGAGTCCCTGGGTAGCACACCATTTTTAGTCAGTTGCTAACCTGAAGGTTGGTTGTTTGGACCCAGCCAACATCACTGTGGGCAAGAGGCCTAGTGAGCTGCTTCTGTGAAGATTATAGCCAAAACCCTTATGGAGGCAGCATTTCTACTCTGAGCACGTTGGGTCGCCATAAGTCTGCACCAACTAGATGGTAACTTGTTTGAGGGTGGTGGTTCTTTGCTATCAGCTGACTCATACGTAGCTGATTCTTCAGCAGGTTTTTCAGAGGCTGTAAATCAAATGGGAAGGGATTTCCCATCTTTCTCCCACAGAGCAACTGGTGGGCTCAAACCGTGTGTCTTCGGATTAGCAGTGGAACCTCTTACCACTAGGCCACCAGAAGTCCCTAGCTGGTTTGGTTAGGTTCCATAAAGGTTCAGAGAGGTAATTGTAGCTTGTCCGTGGTTCCCCGGCCAGCAGCATTGTCACAAAGAAAAGGCTAGAAATAGACTTCCTGGGTCCAAACTCCTGTCACTCTGTCATACCCTTTGCAGTGTCTGGGTTGCTCCTACAGCTTTTCCCTGGGTTCTCACTGCACTCTAGTTTCCCTCCTACTGTGAATCCTGTCTAATACCACCAGACAGCAATTCCTTCAATCCATTTTCATCAAGTCATTCACACTTCAAGAAGCTCAAAGGACTATAGATCTGTAGTACTACAAACTGTCCATGTAATAATGTCTAAAGCAATTCTTATGTTCCTCATAGATAACTGGGGAAAGTCTGCTGCCAGGACCTCTCCAAAGTGCTGAGAGCAAAGATGTCAGTTTGAAGATTAAAGTGCACCTAATGCAAACCATGATTTTTTTTTTTACTACTTGCTATGCATTCTAAAGCTGGACAATGAATAAAGATGACTAAAGAATCTGTACCTTTGAGTTGTGCTGTTGTTGAAGAAGAATGCCGAATATCTCATGGACTGCCAAAACGACAAAAGACAAAATGTTCTTGGAAAAGTTACAACCAGAATGCTCTTTGGAGACAAGGATAGTGAAACTTTGTTTCACGTACTTTGAGCATGTTATTAGGAAGGATCAGTCCTT